TAGTGTGACAACGTCGGAGGATTTCTGGGTGAGCCTCCCTGGAAGAATCTCATCGATCTGTACGCATCCTATGGAGGTCTGATCATGTAGCCTGCCTCAAATAGCGAGGAATTAAGATTGGGTTCTGAAGGCTTTTGCTGGTGGTTAAAGTTTCTGTGCAGCGTTGAAACTATTCATCATGAAAACCTATGTTTTTCGGTCATCACCTATTCAGATCCTTGGATGCATTTTCGAAATGCAATCCAAATCTATATACAGAACAACGACAATTTTTCAGACTTTAGGAGTTAATCACGCCAAATATGTTGTCTTGTACGGTCTCATTTTTAACGAATTCTAACTGATCATGAAGCGATGATTTTTCCCATGATCAATTCTCTTTGTCACTTGATTCACTGTCCCCCAACTGTCCAGATATTTGCTGGCCGAGCCCTCGTTTGAGGATCTTGTCTCTTGGTGATCTGTCTCTTGTCCGACCTGTAAATTTTCTGCACACTTATTCTATTGGGATGTTCCATTATATGAACATGCAGCACTTATATCTTATGGTGACAACGGGTAGGGATTCAGATTACCTTCCATGAAGATCAATGTTATTTGTATGGAAACTTATTCATTCCCGTAAAAATGGTGTGTGTCTGTATATTCAGGAATAATAATAATAATGATTGTTATTATTATTATCATCTACTTTGAATTCGTTACAGTCGAATCTCATCACCCCTGCTGATTTCTTCCGTTTGAAGGTGGTCGCTGTACCTTTTATATTTTAACCTCACAACTGGAAGTACTCATAACTGGCTAGATTAATTACGAGCTTTTAAGAACGCTGAATAAACACCTGTCCGAAATTTGTGGTGCCGATACAGTTTCATCTACTGGCATGAGATTTCCGAATGTATGGGTAGCAATAGAACTGAATAAAACAATGGTGATATTAAGCAAGTCAGTTGTGAACTGCTGGTGTGGAGAGACTAAAAACCCATTTTCTCTAAATCTGTCAACGTTTCAGCCAGCCGTAGCCGAAGCACACATTGAATGGTCGTTGATCCTCTAAACGTGGTCAGAACAACACCAGATATACTGTATAACAAATTGGATGCCTAGGATACGAATATACTGAGGTAAGATTAAAGCAGTTGCTTCAGGACGACCGGCATCTACGGATCGTGCGGTTGGAGGATGAACAAGAGGTTTAATTCGCCGCGCATACAAACCGATAGTTATGTATTGGTTCTCATGCCCACAGTTCTGAGTGTTTGAGCCTTCCCAACTGGCCGCCTTTGTCATCGAAAGACTAAGCATGGGCGGCCAACTAAGGGCCGGCAACAAATTGATTGGTTCATCCCACTACTAGGACTCTACGTCTTCCTTGCACTCCTAACAACGCTCACGGTGATCATAAGATACCCAAGGTGACCTGAGGTGGTGGAGAGGATCGTTCTAATAAAGTGAATGCCTGTGAAATGTGGTTGGAAGAAAACACAAATGATGCTTAAATTCGTCTTGGAGGTTGATTTGATTCGTAAGCAGTCGTACTGAGGATCAGGTGGAGGTGTCCTTAAATCTGACAACCGCTGAAAATCCATGAAATTTACCACCTCTCGGAAGTTTTCTGCTATTTATCATGAAGTTTTATGCACGTCTCTACCTGCTTATACTTTTGTACGCCTCTGTACGGCCTACTGCATTTCGTAACAATAATATGTACAACACGGATAAGGGCTTTGGATGTGAATTTCCCTCGGGCATCCATAAGGGACCATTTTAGCTTTTAAGGTCTTTCTATACTACACATTCATTCATTTTAAAGAATTCCAAGAGTTAATATCTGAGTGTTGCTTGACTTAGCGTGTCTCTAGATGCACTCACTGTGGTTCTGACAGTAAGGCGTCCATAGTAGATCATATTCTTACCAATCATATCGCTGGTGCGTCTAACATAACTGGTCATAACTGTGATAAGTGCAGTGATCACATGCTCGTTTCCTTTAATATTTTTGTATCTAAGTTGCTTCTCTTCTAACAACCTGCAGGGGGCAGTTGCACGGGACAATTGACTTTTCACAAGTCGGAAGAGATCTTGAAGGCTTCACCATGCCTAACTTTGATGGCTCGCCTGATCTAGATCCTAGATGGTCACCTATGGACGGTAGAACTCCTCGGACGACTGACGAAAGCGTACCATAGGTCCCACATGCATAAATAGTTACACCGTCGCTAGCCTCAGCTTAGAACCTGAAAGCTTGTGTGGAGAAGACGGTTAGGTCAAAAACAACATGAGGAAGTAACCAATAACACAAGTGACTGGAAATTCAACTACGATATCAAGGTGTACTTTGAAAATTAGATGATGGGGATCAAACAACAAAAGTGAATCACGGATTGGTGAGCCCAAAGATGAAAGAGCGGAGCAATCTCTAGTGTAGCACAAAAGACTTTGATAGTTTGCAGATTCACCGGACTAGCTCTGAGGTAGCTAACTCAATACGATGTCTGTCAGATGGGAGGAACAACATCTCACCAGCAAAAAGCACAAAGTAAAGAGTCGAATTTGAGCCTGTCAAGATCAGGGAAATTATAATTGATCTGATTTCGAATAAATATCCGGAAATTGACAACATGTACCTTTGAGCGCTTAAGCAGTGTGTCTGTGTTCTGTGCATCCCACCAACAAATCCCTTCGGCCATTCGTTTTCAGAAGGTAAGCTGCACCCTGATTACAAATGAATGTCGTTCATCCCACCATATAGAGGTGCAAATAAACTTAGGGGCTCTGTTGATAGATCAGTGACCTCTGTCTCTTCAGTAATGGAGTTTCTGAGACGAGTGATAGACGAATTAGTTTGCAGTTTCTCACTCAGCGACTCATTCCCGACCAGGCCGAAGCAGGAATCCTGCCCCGCTGTTCAGCGCCAACCTGAACAGTAGATGTGGATCATGTGCTATCTCACGCGCTGATAAACGTAGGGGGTTACGTTTCATTGAGTATGGACCGCCCCGGCAGTTCAGTGACTCAGCATACTAACTGTTAGTTAGCTAACTTGGTAGTTCAAGAATTTTATAATGGCTCCTCTCAAGATGAGTTGCAACGTGCAACCAGGTAGTCATTCGTATTGCAGAGGGTTTAATCCGCCTAGTATCTGAATCTCTCGGACTCAAATGAACCCCGTGGAGCTAAAGTGTTTACAACATTCGCCTGAGAGGATTCAAGGTATGCGGATGTTCCAACTCTCTTACTGGCAAACGTAAGGTTTTCGATGACAGTCTCGGCTTCATCATCACCACTGCTCTACAGGGAACTCAAGTATAGCTTTCGCGAGTATATACAACACAGTTTCTAAGCCAAACAGTTTGCGGATATTTGCTTTATTGTATTTTCCTGGTTTACTCAGCATAGGTAGGTCATGACTTGTCGATAGTATATGGAGTCTCTGGCTTACTGTGAGATGCATGCACGTAGTCTTGGATACCTTAGAACTAGTATTAAGAAACTTCTAATGGCATAGTGGTGCAGATGTATTCTCCGCTTATATTATTCAGGACTGAGCATCATACCATCCCCTGTTTATGCACACTCTTTGCTCTCATATCTCCCTCCGTTCCCGTTTCGTCTAGTCACTGTTCATCAGCCGTATACTTACTGTTTATGGTTTTAACAGAGTTAACACTTGTATGCAATTTACTCCTTTTATTTATTGGAACATCCGTAAATCATGATGGTTGGGTTTTGTATTTTGTAGTTTGGGGAGTGCTGGCTATTATGGTTACGCAACCCTTGACCAGCCCTATCCAGCCCGATGGGACCCAGTATCTGCTTAGCCAGTACCTCACCCAACGTATAAGTACGGATAACGAAACACAAATCAAAAAGACCGGTATTCACGAATATATTCAAAGAGGCAATACATTTAATTAAAATAAATATAACAGTAATTATTAGGGGAAAGTTTATTCAGCTTATCTGACTAGTATAGCTGAACTAAGGACTCCGGGTATATGCGTGCTAACCAGCATACAGAAAACGCGAAATGGCATCGGAGCCTGTTCGGATGCACGTTCGTTATAACAAGGCTTAAAACGCTTTAAGCACTCGGAGGCGAGCTGGATGTTTACTTAGTTTATCTAACATAATCTATTTATTTAATCCCTAGTTGCCTTTTGATGACAGGATGGTTCATTACGAAAGCATGAGGGGGCGCGGAAGAATATCTGTCCTAATTCGTTTATAGATAGTATGTGTAGTTCCCCACTTTCACCTGCTGCAGCACTTTACCCTGATGCCTTTGAAGGGAATTTGGAGGTCCATTTTTATCTGAATGATGATAGGTTGTACTTAAAAAACTGCTGGTCAACTGGGAAACCATGAGTGGCAACAACACAGTATACTAACTGACCAGTGATTGTATACCCCATAGGAGACAGGATGTGTTACTACTACATTACGCTTAACCAACTGTACTAAAATGGATGTGTTCTAGTACATGCCTACTCGGTACCTGACCTAACGTTTCAGTACTGATCAAAGAACCAAATCTAAACGACTGAAGTTCAAGAATATATTCCAAAGACGAATATATATAAGCGGGAAGGTTCATTCAACTCATCTGTTTAACATGGCTAAGCTAAGGACTCTGAGGATGCTTGGTTAACCGGCACAAATTGAGCGCAAAATGAGATCGAAGCCTGCTTGGATGTATACTTGTTGAAGCAGAACTTAAAAGGTCGTAAGCATCCGGAAGCAATCTAGAGATTTGCTTGGTTAGTATTTGGTTACTTTAATTTATTTATTTTGGCGTTAGTTGCATTATAGTGTCAGGAACCTGAACTTCAACCTCTATCCTTTCGGGTTTCCTAAAACAATAGAGATTATTGTGGTCACTTCGACGGAAAAATGTTTTGCAGTAACATAAAGGTAGAAAACAAGGAGAATCGTCCACTATTTCCACAACATGAAGTTCGAATTCTGTAGTTTCTATTGGGTAATCAGACGCGTGTTCCGCTGGTTTCAGTTTCTAGGTCGTTCCTCAATGGTTAGTCAATCCATTTTTGCATTCAGAAATAAAATGTAATTTTTCCGGTTGAATAAGTTTAGATTATAAAGTTGTTTGACTTTAAGCTTTCCATATGTACGGTATGGTGTTGTTCCCAAAATAATTTTATATTAGGATAAAGCGAATGCATAGCCTCTGAAGAGCGTACGCTTATCCAGTGTTTTTTTACATGAACCACTTGATGATACAGGCGTTTTCTCCGTCAGTTGGTATTAACTTTATCCCTCCGACAAACTTGGAACTGACAAATTTCGGGGAAATGTTAGAAAATCATACCTTTGGCCCCGAACTTCCTTACAATATGCAACATGCCTCCCCCCTGTTTTGTTCTGTGCAAATTTCAGCTGGGTAGGTACTTCCGGGAAATAATTTAGTCAAACTTTCAGGCACATGCTATAATTTCCTTCCATTCATCAACTCTCATCTGTAAAAAGCTGATATATATAGATGTAGCCATGGCTGGGCCTATGGTAGTGGTTATGTCGTCATTGATTTAGGTGAAAGTTTTACTTGTAATCCAGTGTCATAAAACTTCGGGCTCCAGTTAGGCGACATTTCACTATCGTCTTGTAGTCATGTCCTGTGACTCAGATCATTGTGGTTAGTACTACAGAGGCAGAAATGTAGTCAGTGCTTTAACTGTTGGCAGATGCAACATAATCTAGCGTAGCTGAAATTTGGGATTCTATTGCGTATAAGTGTCCAAATAGTCAGTTGTTTCTCGTTTTTAACACAGAAATGGAAGGGAACTACAGTATACGTGATCCTTCAGCTGTATTAAGAAACTTACGAAAGTTTTAAACTCCTTTCTCATGCTTCAAGTAAAAGTACATGAGATAAAAATATCCATCCAGACAAACTAAACCAACGAAAACCCTTTCACCTCGGTGTATCAGTTGAAGTTGCTACAAGTCACAGTAGCATAGAAAGACAGTCTTATTAAAGTGGGAAAAATTGCGTGGAGACGAAATAATTTGAACATAAAGGTTAGCAGGCATATTCAGGCTTGGGGAGACGTCAAAGAGTGAATGCATCCGCGCCATTACGACTAACTTTTTCCACCAAAAATTGTTAGGTTCTGATTCTTATCGTTTCGTGAACTAACCAATTAAGCTGCACCCTCCTACATAACAGACCAGTCAGGCTTCTTGGACTGGTGCCACATCTTGCTGTGGTCACCCTGACCCACCTTCGACATAAGCCAGCTTCTGCCTGTATTGCACGTCAAGGCAAACAATGGCTGGATAGGCATAACGTGTATCTAAACCATCTTAGCTGGTGAAGGTTCGAAACCTCACCGACCAACATGCCTAGATCATTTCGCCTAATTTCAACATCGCTCACATGTTGATTCCAGCTTGCGTAAGCAATGATACGAAGACAATTATGGTCCAAAACCTGTTGTCACTTCAAATCTACTTCTAGCGGCCTAGTGAGGCTAGTGATGACGCAAGTCGGCAAATCCTAGGTGGGTTTTCTGTATCCGAGCCGAGATTTTGTCAGCAACCAGCCCGTTCGGGCTGACGCAACTTGCAAAGTAAATGAAATGGTCGATGCATTCAACCACTTCGCTCCCTATCATTAAACTGGGAGTAGCCGCAGACCAGTTCTGGAGCGTTATCTTAAATTTGACAAGTGCAAAATGCATGTCAAACATGTTCAGATTTTCGCTCAAGGCTTTCAAAAGACCCTGCCATTTGCCAGTGTCTTCATCTAGCATGAGAATGTCGTCTGTATACTCCAAGTCAACGAGATGCTCTCCAGAGAGTGGATCAGTTCATGTGAAGTCAGGGTTACCCAAGGTCATGTTCATCAGTACATCTGTGACAGTTGAATAGGAACGGTAACCTTTAACATCCCTGGCGAACACCACTAATTGTCGTCAGTTCTGATGAAAACTCTCCATAAGCACTCACGGCTACATGAGTTCGAGTGGAGTGCTTTGAGTGGTGTCGTCTACTTGCCTGTTACTCCTTCCATAGTCACTGCCACAACAAATCACGGCCAACGTAATCGAATACTGCCTTCAGTTCAAGAAATACGGCGAATGTTGGCTGCAGATAAGTATGCCTGCGTTTCATAGCCTGTCGAAAAGTGAAGACCTGATTGATGCACCCAAGTACAGGCTTGAAACATACCTGGTTTCCTCGAGTTTGCTGTTCTGGAGCTCTAGTTAGGTGTTGGATAAATGTGTATTCAATGGTCTCAGATACAATATTAGTCAAACTGATTCCCCTGTGTTTTTCACAAGAAGACTTCTTATAAACACAGTGGTCAGTAAAGTAGAGCAGTATGATAGCACTACCTCTGATTCCCATACACCACCTAGTAGTACCTCGGTTACTCTACGTATTAATTTTCTACCTCCATCCTTGAAAACTTCAGATGGCAAACCGTCAGGTCCTGCAGCTTTGGACTGTTTCAGTTCCGAAACCGCCTTTTCAACTTCGATGGAAGCTGGAAGATCGATATTTACGTCAAACTCAGGTTCAGGCTGGATGCTGGGCAACTGAAGCGTTGCTGTGGGCCAGTTGGACTGTGTTTCAAAGTTTTCTGCCAAATGCCCTGTCTGTCGTGAGAGGCTATCAGTATCCCATCTTTTTCGGTGATGGTTTCACTCACCATCGTGTTCTTCCTGCTAGTATTCTAAATAAGCCTAAATAGTTGCTGGGTATCACCTAGTACTGATGCTTTCTCCATTCCTGTCGCTTTCGGCAACCACCTTAGCTCGCGATCATTGCGAAGACTCTTAGTTTACTTCTAAGTTACTTTCGCCGTTCATTATGGTCATAGCCGTCTGGAATGAGTCTTCTGGCATCAATCACTTCTAATGATGTTGTGAAAATCCATTGAAGTTTGCTAGCGTTTGTATTTAGGCGACCAAACGTCTTTATCCCTGATTCTACAACTGACTGCAAATCATGTCAGGTTTCCTCATGATGGGTATTTCTGTCGTGTTCAGACAAATGCTTACCTAGCACCTCCCTAAATACACACTTAATGTTATCTGTTTTTGAGCAAACGCATGACCTTTTTCTAAACAGATACTCCAGAAAGAGTGGAAATCCTCCAACGACTGATAGCAATACGATCTAATTGTGTCGATCGTTGGCATGATGTTAGCGGACACTATGTAAGAGTGTCTTTCCTTATACTTGAAGTTAGTGCTGGCTAGAAACAGGTGACTATCAGAACAAAATTGTAAAAGATTATCACCGCTGTCTCTTCGTTATCATAAGATTCAGTAAATGCCTCCAAGATACCGTTCCGACTGGCTCATCTTCCCTTCTAGAATTCCTTTGCATCATCCGAACTTATGTTGGTGGGATCATAGGCGGAGATTACGGATAGTTATCGACTAGTCTAGCTATTCCTCGTAGTTCTTACAGATCCATTCAGTCGAACAACACACAAACGATTGTTAACTAGTATCAAGTTGGGGAGTGCGTTTCTACTCGAGTTATTGCTGTGGCCTATATCACAGTCCACAAGACCCATCCAATGAGTCTCCAGATACTCGTAAGGTGAACTTTGAAGACTCACCGCAATGGTAGGGTGAGGTCAAGTTAATAGCCATACTCGCATCCTGAATGTGTCTCGGAGAGATCATACATCCATGGCTCGAGATTCTAGAGTTCTGGTAAGTGATGACTGCTGTCTAATTTGGCTTAGGGTTCGGAAGTTAAAAACTTCAATGCGAAATAGATAGCCGGGGTCTTAAAAAACTAGGAATGCGGTTTCGATGGCTTTTAATTTTGGCAACGGTCGCAGGACGAGAGGTTGGGGAAGGTAATAGACTTAATATTGGTATCAGGAGGTGAGAGCAAGGGAAAAGAGAAAGCCAAGAAGGATGGGTTATGTTTGATCGGGTTTTGTATAGTTCTGGAAGCACCCAGGCAGTTGACACCCCACGGTTACCTGCACCGGAAGTTGTTTCTGTAGGGTACCTGAAAGGGGAAAAGGAAAAGAAAAAGATTTGCGTGACCACATAGCCCATGGGACATCTACCTAAGGCTTGCCACAGCCTTTTGAGGATTATGGATGTGAGATTTGATTGTTCTAACGCTGGGTCGAAAAAACATACCACCGGCACTGGAAGACTGGGTCATAGAACAGTGTGCTATTTTAGGGATCAACCTTTTCTAGCCCATCCCCCGTCGTTCTTATTAGGAAAGTGGTATCAGCATGGTACTCCCGGTCGTTCGCAGAAAACACCTTTCTACTGTCACACTCCATCCAGCCAGCAGTATGACTTCGCCCTCGGATCCCCGTCATAGCGTCGTAACTTGCACTATAATGGTAACTGCTTTTCGTCTAACCCCTATCTAAACGACCTTTCTGGAATGGCAGAACCTCGAAGAAAGATGCGTTCCGACCAGTATGACTAGGATCATCGTAATATCCAACCCTGACCGCCACGTCAAAGCTGCAGCTATCGATCAAATGCGTCGTGCCATATCAGCAATATTCTTTAACCATTGATTCCTGCCATTTTGAGGACTCCAGCCCGAACGGCGTGGCTGCTGACGGAATCTTAGCTCGGATACATCAATATCAACAAAGGCCCAGGCACTACTGCGTAACGGTCCGAGTTGCCGTACCTCATATCAGTACATCAAGTAAAAAGACAGTGAGGTGAAGGATGAAGATAAGAGAATGCTGTCAAAAGAAATTTAAAGTACGAAAAGAGAGAAAGGAAGAATGAGAAAATGGTGAGATTTGGTATAGCGTCGTTAAGATGAGGATAATGTATGTATACATCTGCGCCACTGACATCGGTTCTGACCCATGTGATCACCTAGAGTCAATCTCCAACCACTGGTTCCTCTTGTCCCGCCAACCCCAACTGGATAGTCTGCATCGCCCCACATGGTTCAAACTAATCACCATCATCAATATCAACATAGGACCAGGCATTACTGCGTAACGGTTCGAGTTGCTCAAACCAATAGTCAAAGACTTCATGCATTGATGCTATG